TTGAATGTGAATAATGAAGACTTTTTTGGTATTTCAGTGACTAACACCTTTTAGACAGGGTCCATGGTGATCGATTCATATTGATTTTGCTGACTAAATAATACTTGAGCAAAGTTCCAGTGGCATCTAAAAATAAGCTCTTTCACAGTCCTTATGTGTCTTAAATATCATTATAGTATTTATTTTGTTCAAATCTTTGCAGTCACCTCAAATTTCAAGAATTCATGTGTAAATCATTCTAAGTGATTCAGTAAATTTGTGAACCTATTTCCTAATACCTTGTAAACCTATATTTCACATATCTACTGGGCTGCTTATAATCAATAGCTCTTTCTTCACTACTTCCCAACTTGTTCTAATTTGTTTCCTTTGGGAGAGGTAGATTTCAAGAGTTCCAGATTACATGTTTGTTTGTTTGGTTTCTTTTTTCATGCGACTTAGAGCTCCTCCTTGTTTATTAGCAGTTCTATTTCTTTCTCTAGCCCCATTTTCTCTTGAAGCAGCCATAAAAGTACCATCTGTTTTTCAGCATCATTTTATTTCTGCTTTCTCCTCCCTGCACTTTTCTCTTCTCTGAATGCTTTATGCGATAACAATTTATTCCTGATTTATTATCCACCTGCTTTCATAGCCTCCTCCTTTCTGTTCCTCCTCCACCCCTATCCCACACTGGATGGAGTGGTATACCATAGTTCTTAAGGACATAGCTTTGGAGTCAAGTAAGGGCCAGCTCAATCACTTACACATGTTGCGCCTTAGGGACTTGACCACTATAAGCCTCAATTTCTTCATTTATAAGAAAGAGAAGGTTATAATACCATCTACTACATAGGATGGCTTGAAGAATTAAATAAAATAATATACATCAGTGTTTCTCAGCCTTGGCACTATTGACATTTGGGGCTGAGTCATTCTTTGTTCTGGAGGCTGTCCTGGGCATTGTAGGATGGTTAGCAGCAACCCTGGTCTCTACCACTAGATGATCATAGCAACTCCCTTCCCAGCTATGACAATGCAAAATGTCTCTAGACATTGCTAAATGTCCCAGGAAGGCAAAATTTTCCCCATTTGGAATCATTGCAAGATATAAAACATTTAGCACAGTGCCTGGTACACAGTAGGCACTTGATCAATAATTGTGAGGGATGGATGGTCAGAAGAATGATTGAATATTCATTTTTAATACAAGTGTCTAATGTAATTCTTGACAGTCAATTAACTACTTAATGCATAAATGGATAAACAAATGAACCTGAAGCCAGTGAGCTTCAAGGGCTATCCATAGTTTCTACCTTATACTAAAATATGTTATTTTCACTAAAAACAAGCTTCCTAAGTTTTCAAAAAATATTTTAGACAATTAACTAACTGCACAACTTAAACTACTCCCCCAATTTAATATATATGCATATACTTTAAATAATAGGGAGATTTTAAAATAAACTCTAATGGATGATAGCTATAGCAATTATGTTGCAGTAGAATTCCGTGCTAAAAATTGAAGTGATCCTTTGATTAACTTGAGTATTTTAGGCTGATATCCCAGTGAATAAGCCATTGATGTGGTAAGAGAACAAAGCTCAGGCAACTTTTAAGTGTTTTTTAATCTAATTTATCTTATATAAATATTTATTGAGTGCCTACTATATTTCAGGCACTGTTCTAGGTACTTAGGATACATTCGTGAACAAAACAATGATCCAACGCTGTGGAACCTCCATTCTATGAAATAGTGGTTCACAAAAATAATAAATACGCAAATAGAAATAAAAATAAAGATTACTTATAACTCGTAAAATACTAGCCTAGGAAATATTCTAAGTGTTACCGACAGCAAAATTCCAGTGGATGACTGTAACCCAACCAGAAACATTTTTGTAACTGCACTCACTGTTTGCCATTTGGTTGCTTAACTATGATTTCAGTTTACTGAACTCTAACTTTCTCGTCTGATCTGAATTACAATGAGGGTATTAAATCTGTGGTTACCTTTGCATATTTTAGAACTTCAGACATTTAGATTGTGATTCACTGTGTGCATAATTTTTTAAATTGTCTCAAATCAACAATCTTTCTCTTACTTTTCTAGGTTTTATTCTCTAATGAACTAACTTCATGGCATACTTTTTGTGCTGTAGTCTAATAAACTGATAGCTGAGTTTTTAAAAAAATGAATACAATATATGCTTTTTCTGCCTCACTTTTTTCATACGTAAAATGGGATCTGTGGGATACTTAACACATAAAGTTATTATAAGGATTAAATAAGGTAATGTTGATTTAAAAAAAAAACAAACCTTAGAACTAAAGAAAATGCCAAGCACAAGTGTAGTATTTTCTGCACTTCTACTAGCCATGTACTTATTTCTAGTATTTCCAATATTTTAACACAGTAAATGAGGCAGTATATCTTTTTCTTTTCTTTCTACACTTGGGAGAAAGCAGAATTACAATGAAATAAAAGCAAAATGTATATCCAATAGGGCCATATAAGTAATGTCTTTTTGTAAACCACTAGTCTCAGGAGTAAATCCCTCCACATGATGAAAACCAAGAGATGTGTTTGCACATAACTCTTTTTATAAAGTTTTTTTAATTGCAAAGACATAGTCCTTATAAACTTCCAATGTATGGAAATTAGTAATTTAGAAAGTGAAAAGCCCCTTTACACATATATTCATTCCAACTCACTACCTTTAGAGATAATTAATAGTTATAATCAGTATATAGTCTCACTTTTTTTTTTTCTTTGAGACGCAGTCTTGCTGTTATCGCTAGGCTGGAGTGCAGTGGCACGATCTTGACTCACTACAATGTCCGCCTCCTGGATTCAAGGGATTCTCATGCCTCAGCCTTCCGAGTAGCTGGGATTACAGGCACGTGCCACCACACCCAGCTGATTTTTGTATTTTTAGTAGAGACAGGGTTTCATCATGATGGCCAGGATGGTCTTGATCTCCTGACTTCATGATCCGCCCACCTCAGCCTCCCAAAGTGCTGGGATTACAGGTGTGAGCCACTGCGCCCAGCCTAGTCTCAAATTTTTTTCCTAGTCATACTAATATATATTTCTATTAAAATAAAATCACATTGTACATACCATTTTGCAACTGACCTTTATTCACTTAAAATATGTCTTTGGTGTCAGTGTCAACACATTTAGTTTCTTCTTGTTTCCAACAGCTGCCAAGAGTGGTAACTCTCTTTGCCTCTCTGGGTACTTACCCACAAAAGCACATGCATTTAGATCTGATGGGAGAAGTCCTTCAGAGCAGGCACCGGTGGCTTACACCTGTAATCTCAACTCTTTGGGAGGCCAAGGCTGGCAGATGATGTGAGCTCAGGAGTTTGAGACCAGCCTGGGCAACATGGCAAAACCCCATCTCTACAAAAAATACAAAAATTAGCCAGGTGTGTTGGTGCATGCCTGTAGTCCTAGCTCGTTGGGAGACTGAGGTGGGACACAGAGGTTGCAGTGAGCGGAGCTCATTCCACTGCACTCCAGCCTGGGTGACAGAGTGAGACCCTGTCAAAGGATAGGAAGAAGGAAGGAAGCAAAGAGGGAAGGAAGGAAGGAAGGAAGGAAGGAAGGAAGGAAGGAAGGAAGGAAAGGAAGGAAGGAAGGAAGGAAGGGAGGGAGGGGAGGGAGAAGGAAAGGGAGGGAAGGAAGGAAGGAAGGAAGGAAGGAAGGAAGGAAGGAAGGAAGGAAGGGAGGGAGGGAGGGAGGGAGGGAGGGAGGGAGGGAAAGAAAGAAAAGAAAGAAAAGAAAGAAAAGAAAGAAAAGAAAAGAAAAGAAAAGGCCCTTCAGCTGAAAGTTGCACTGCCAATTCTCTCTCAAAGCACTGACCCAAAAAGGGGCACCAGCAGAGAGGCTCAGAAGATCTTCTCAGTCCACACCAGGAGACCAGACCTTTCTCAGTGCAGGGAGAAGGATGAGCTGAATGAGGAATACTCACTCATAAGGCAGTTAATCCAGAGGGTGACAGAAACATTACAAATGTGACACCCTTGAAATGGAACTCCTCTTTGGAGTGTGGAAGCCCAGTCATACACAACCCACTTGGAGCAGGAAGGAAATTGTATTTGAGGATGTTAAAGTCAAGCGAAATTTTATTAAAATTGCCTCAGGAGGCCATTCATCGCCACTTCACTTATCCCACTTCAAAGCCTACTTCCTGACACTCAGATATTTACTTGTGGAGTGATTAAGTTCTCTTTCGTCTTTCCTATGCTTTCGTTAGATGCTCTTTTTCTCTTTTTTGCTTACAAAAAGGTAGATTTTTTCAGTCAAATGTCAATATGTCAAACACCAAGTATTCATTCCCTTGCAATGCACAGTGTTTATACTTACATACCCTATTATAACAAATGTAATATTATTTAATTATGCAGCAAACTTACACATAATTGGTGAACCAGGTCTAAAGAATATTCTATACAGGAAGCATAGAGTATTCAGCTTAGTTGAGGCCTTTGTTAATATGCAAAGTTGCAGGTGCCACATTAGGGAATTTTGGGGAAAAGGAAATGCAAACTTATTTGGCAGGAAAACAAGAGAAATGATTATATCTTATGGCACTTTTATGGCTGGACACATTTAGATGCCTCTGTCACACCACCCAGAAGCCGTGGTGTTGGGGGCTGAGGCAGGAGCTCCTTTTGCCACAGGAAAAAGGATGAAACCAGAGACATTGTGAAAGGTTGCCCCAAAGTCTTAAGGTTCCCTGAAACCTTAGGTTTTTTGAACCCATTGTCCAACCTGTTGAAAGTTAAATAATACGTTGTTCAAAATTGCATAGGTAAAGCACAGAATGGCCAAAGGGTCAGAAACTACAGCAACAGGTAGGTCCCATTCTCTGCCTTTTCACTCTGCAGCTGGGGATCAAGATCTGTTTATTTGTGCCTTAAATAGGTCAAAGTGAACTTTTTGAAAATATTGTTTTGGTAAATAAAAATTCCTGGTCGTGCTAATTATGGCTGTTTTGACCTGTTTCTTTCAGATACCATTGTTCTTATCGCTTCAATAGCAGTTGTTTCTGCAAAAACTCAGGGTAATATTTTTGCCACGTCTGCACTCAGAAGTCTCCGTTTCCTACAGATCCTCCGCATGGTGCGTATGGACCGAAGGGGAGGCACTTGGAAGTTACTGGGTTCGGTGGTTTATGCTCACAGCAAGGTAAGATTTGCTCTCTGAGTCTAAAAAACAATTTTTGAAACTTTTTCATTGATTGCTGTAATATTTAATAAACCTATCACAAGCAAACTTAGTCATTGCAGAAATTGGTTAAAACAATTTTGGGACATGATGTGCAATGGATTATTTAAGAGCCATCATAAACATCCAAGAAGTAGTAAAGTGAATAGAATCATCATAGAATTATTTTTTCCTTTTTCAAAGATTTCCCACCTCTAAAAATCTTTCATTCCTTTTATACCTAGGAATTAATCACAGCTTGGTACATAGGATTTTTGGTTCTTATTTTTTCATCTTTCCTTGTCTATCTGGTGGAAAAGGATGCCAATAAAGAGTTTTCTACCTATGCAGATGCTCTCTGGTGGGGCACAGTAAGTATACAAATATGTTTTTATTTATTGCATGTTGTGAAATGTTTTTTTTAATACAATGTAATGGTTCCTATGGATGGTCGCAATAAAAATATCCACTTGCAAAAGAGTTATACGGAAAATACATCCTACTTACTATTGTCTAAAGGCTTTCCACATCTTTCTGGGCCAACTAAGTTATCTTGTAAACCAACATTAATATTTCTTGAGTGTTAGATGGTTGCCAAAATTAAAAATACATAAAATATATAAATATATATCATTTTTTAAATGGTGATTAAAAACATTGATAGTTTATCTGTTTTAACTTTGTGGAGCACAAATTTAAATTATCAACTGTTGCATTGATTTTCCACTCTTTAAAAGTTTATCCGGGGTTAAAAAATGAATGAAAGCTGTGAATAAAATTACAGCACAAAGAAATGAAAAAGAAGACTGGTAACCATCTGTGAGATCAGAGATTATAGTCACCTAATTTCAAAACTTTCCTCTTAAAACCTACTTTTTCTTTAAATTGTTATTAAAGGATAATTTTCCAAATAAATAAAGTAAAATCATGATTCTCACAAAGATAGAAAATGAACACATGCTAAACATTCATTTAACTCATTTTTGAAATGTAAGTCATTATTAATGAAGAAACCAGTAAGATGTTAAAACCAGTTCAAAGCACTATCCAAAGAACAGAAACATTTAAAGATCAGGAATACTGAAATCAATGTGCAAATAGAGGCAAAACTGGCTCCTTCCGTAGTGTGGGAGGGAAGTCAGTTCAACCTCCACTAGGCAGAATTTATTTACATGTCCATAGGCAAGAATTATTTCGCATTGCTACCAGTTATCAACAACTTACAGAGTTGTAAAATAGCTCAAAGACTGTGAAAAGAGCAGAGCCCCGTAAAATCAGAATCCAAAAACCTGGAAGGGTGTACTCTGAACAACGCATAGTTTTCCACTGAAGCGAAAATTTTCCCTGCATTGTAAAGAATTTATAAAACAGTCATTGGAACTTGTGCCCTAATAAGAATGTCATGGGATATAGGAGTGACATAAAAAGAAATGTGTAAATTATACATTTACTTTTATTTTATTCCTTTAATGTATTCCAAAGGGGAGTTATATGAAAATAATTATAGCCAAGCATGGTGGCTCACGCCTGTAATTCAAGCACTTTGGGAGGCCAAAGCAGGCCAATTGCTTGAGCTCAGGCGTTTGAGACCAGCCTGGGCAACATGCCAAGACCCCATCTCTACATAAAATACAAAAATTAGCCAGGTGTGGTGGCACGCTCCTGTAGTCCCAGCTGCTTGGGAGGCTGAGGTGAAAGGATCATTTGAACCTGGGAGGTAGATTATAAATGCTTATCTAAAGAATGTCCATAACATTTTGGTCCAAAAAAATCCTTAAGTTCTCTTTTAAACCACCTTTAGTATTTCTTGAGTTCTAGATTGTTGCCAAAATAAAAATATATCATTTTCTTAAGCTGTGATTTAAACAATGATAAGCTTTTTGTTTGTTTAGTGAAGCACAGATTTAAGTTACCAATTCTTGCATTGTTCCACTACTCATCAAAAGCTCATCAGCAAGACCCAGAGCACTTGTCAGAGATGAGGAAAATTTGTTAGGGCTGTATTAAGCAGAACTTGTTGTATTTGTTGATTGCACAGCAGCAACAAAATGAATAAAAATCAGAAATACATTCACCTAAAGAGTTGAATTTTTTTCTTAGGTTATCTGAGTAAATGTCTACAAGATTATGCCATTGGTTTCAAAGGATTCTGTTGGTTTAATAATGTGGTTTCCGGCTGCTCTTCGCTATTCACAAGCAATAATGGGCATTTTGAAAGAAGAGTGGAAACTTGAAAGAGAGCAGTCATCTGACATTCTTAAAATACTTTTTATATGTAGAGAGCAAATGAAAATCTGTGACTCATGATGGGATAAACTGTAAACTGAGAAAACAGGAGGCTTTTCTTGCCAGTAAGGGGAAGACAGTTTATCATCCCAGCCTTCAAAGCAATGGTTTGAATTCAAGTTTAATTTTGCTTCTCTTGGATAATTCTAATATATTTAACTTACTGAGGCACCCAGGTGCCCCTTTTCCCATTGAGATGCAGTTGTTGGTGAGTTTAGCCTGGCAGCTTATTATCCTTCTTTTTATTAGTCTTCCTTTTCTCCTTATTACGAAAAAGAATTGCTGTATTGTGTGTTAAACAGTGTGTGGGAAACTCTTAATATACCTCTCAGTTAGTCACCAGTTTGTTTCTTTTGCCAGAATAACCTACACAGCAAGTTTTCAAAGGTCATTTCTGTGACTTTCGGGGGAAGAAACATTTTCATTGATTTCCCTTTCAGTTGTGCTAATTTGACTGACATTTAACCTGTACTTAACAGGTTTCTGAATGACCTAATTATGTTTCTATTTTTTAAAAAAATCTAGTCTTGAATATGAGAGTAAAAATCTTATAAGATGTCAAACTTCGAAGAATTTTTTAAGGCCTTATTGGTCCATGGCAGGTTTGTTGATATTAATGGACTCATTAATGAAATTGTCTGAAACCTAAAAAGACAGAAAAAGCAAACAAGAGAGCTCATTGTTTCTATTCATTTTAAGAAGAACATATTCTAGATTCCTAGTGGGAAATAAAATAAATTTAGACTATTATACCTTTTATTTATACATTAATCAAGACCTTAGTTTTGATTAATTTGGTTTGAAAATTATGGCTGGGTATTTCTGAGTTAAAATTGCCCATGCTGCACTTAATGGAAACCTTAATAACTATTATCCAGAATAAATAAGGAAATGACAGCATCCTAAGTGAGAGTATTTCTAAATGTTACACTGTGATGAAAAAAGGAAATCCCCTATATTAAAAGAGCCCACAGTTCAACATTAAGTATCAAAATATAGGTTTTGTTCTACAGATATGCTGCGCCAGTGAATTTTCAATACTCACTATGGAACTGCTTTGGTTAAGATAGTGAGATCTGTCCCCTAGATCAACTTTTGGAGGGCTATCATGGTGGGATCAGTGCTGCTCCAAGCCAGTAACAATTCAAAGAACAGTGATCCCTGAAAGCAGTTTCATATTAGTGAAACTAGCTCATTGAGTAAGTGAAATAGATATAAAAGACCTGGTACCAAGAACATAGCAAGTGCCCAATCAAATATGATAGCTGCTATTTGTGTAGACATCGTTGCTGTGGAAGTTAAATGAAAGCACCTTTAATACAAAAGGAAGAAAAAAAAACCTATGTGTTTTGATGCAGACCCACAGTTTGAACATAGAAGAGGCTTGGGAATTGGAGGTTGTGATGAAAAGATATCCTGGGTTCTGATGTGGCGACTAAAGTTGCATTGATGGCAGAAAATGGAAAAGGGAAGTAGCTCCAGTAGCTGAGGCACTGGGAGCTACTGGAAGAGGGGATCTTCTGATTGCTGGTGGAGCTCCATTTATTTTTGTTTTCTATTGTTATTGTTCTCATTTTTGGTTGTTCCAGATTTCTTCTGAAATAATTTAAGAGTGGGTTTCCCTGGAGTTATTTTCTGTTATTAAATCCTTCCTGTTATTATGTTTCTCCTTTTGATCTGCTTTAGATTTATTCTGAAATAACTTCAGATCCGGTTTTCCTGAAGTAGTTTTTCCTGATAATAACCTCTTCTTGAAGGCCAGTTTGTCCTCCTTCTATTTACTGCTGTTACTGTGATGAAGATAGCGTTGTGGGGTTTTATTTTTAAAAGATGCATACAGCAGTAGATAGTATAAATCTACTCTTGAGTAAGCATCTGAATACAGACTTCACCTAAGACCCTGTGCTTGAAGTGAGTATTTCAGGGATGTAGAAAATTTTTATGTCAGCCAGAGTTAGTCTGAGAATTCATGCAGAAAAATCTTACAGTCTTTCTAGAAGCAAACCATATGGATGGTTCTATGTACATAGTATACTGTGCCCTCAACATGTACATCCCAAATATATGCCTTGAGTTTCATCCTCCTGTAAAATCTAAGAGTAAGAAATTGTGTAAATTTTTGAAATAAACACGGATACTCTTGTCCTGATAGTACCAGGACCCTTCAGAGAATCAACCCTTCTTACATTGGGTTTACCATTACAAAACGTTTCTACAACATCATCTAAGCTGATGTTTCCTGAATTAATGCTGGCATGTTAAAGTTAAAATTACTTCTTGCTACCAATGCATTATCTAATGGTATCAAAACTTTACTTGGCCGTGAAAGGAACAACACACTAGCTCCTAACTATTCAAGATTATTATCAGTTACCAAGCAAAAATGGAGACACACATACCCCAGCCTCTACCCACCAAAACATTCAAACTATTATAAGCATCTACAAGTTCCATGCCAACCTACTGGCATGGATTTGTGAAGTAGATTGTCATACGCCTCTTTGGGGGAACTCTTTCTTAATGAGAATCTAAAGTAGCATTGATGACAGAGTATTTCTTCAATGATGTTATCTCACACATGCCTCTGGGCACTTTTTATCAGTTATTATTATTCTATCAGTATTGAGCACATGCTGTTTTGTAAAGAATAGAAAAATTGGAGTCAAGAGACCTGGGTTCTGGCCCTAACATTATGATTTCATGGAGGTGTGTTATTAAGCAGTCATTAACATCTCTGTAAAATTGAGATATCCCCCAAACACAAAGTTGCTATCTGTATAAAATGAGACTAGGACATGTAGATGTGCTTTATCAAGCACTAGGTAAATGGTAGTCATTACTGTTGTTACACCACCGTCCGAAAAAACAAGATGGAATGCTAGTGCCGAGCTACCTGCCACAGCAGAACCCAAATTTTATGATGCCATCACCGCGGAAGATTCTGTTTGAAGATGTACCTACTAGTTCTGACCTACTAGTTCAAGGCAACTAAATTTCAAAATTGACTGCACAATTTCTATGACCACCTACTATCTGATACTAGGTGAATCACCTTTCCTTAAAAGACTCCTTTATGGGCTGGGCA